CCAACGGAGAGCTGGACGATGTCGCCAGGAACCAGGTCCACGGCCTTGACTTTGATGTCCATTGTGCCCTGGCGTGTGACGGTAGCTTCGGGTGCGGTGAGTTTCTTGAGAGATTCGATAGTCTTCTCGGCTCGGTAGTCCTGCCAGAAACCAACAACGATGTTGAGGAGGATAACTGCGGTGATGACGCCGCCTTCGATGTAGTCGTCTATGCCAAAGCTAATGGCCATGACAATGATGAGGACGAAGGTGAGACTGTTCGAGATCTGCCTTAACAGAATTTTCCACATGGAAAGCCCTTCAGCTCCCTTAACCTTGTTAGGGCCATAGAGCTGGAGGCGAGATTGCGCTTCAGAGTGAGGGAGTCCATGGCTGCGATAGTTAGCAGGAGCACGAGAGTGGTGAGCATGAACAGTGAGCCCTACTGGATGTCGACTCCCAGAGTCTGTGCAACTTCCTCGGAGGTGAGGGTGTGCGGAGCGTGGAGTGTGGGCGAAGTGTCGCCATCGATGGGGTTCGGCTGGAGTTGCCTTTGGTTTGGTGCAGTATGCGGATCCTTACTACCACATATAGGGGGTTCATCGACGTTGGGAGAAGTCTCCTCGACGGCAAGTAGCACAGTTTCACCCATTCAAGTATATGTGATAACACGGATAGTGTTGGTGGTAGAGAGCAAAGATACGCCTTTGCGGGGGAGTAGTTATAGGCAGCTTGTCCTACCAGGTTTAGGCGGGGTTAGCACGCTAGACGAACGACGTGGGTCATCCAAGCGTGGAGAGGCTTGGAACCTCTTGTCCACCACGCCACATGAATGGCTGCGCATGTCTTTGTCGCAGCAAGTATTGCATTAGCAGGTACAAACATAGTGATCAGCTGATGCTCCGGACAAACATGTACCCACAACTTGGTTTCAAAGATCAGTAGTCAGCGAACGCAGTGAGGCTGGACTAACTCGAACGCTCATTGACCGAACGATAAGAATCTTGGCTGACGGGCCCAAGCAATCCGGCCTCCGCTCTCCGGTCCTAAGTCTCATCTGTGTGGCTTTGAGGCACTGTGCCGCGATGCCGAGATGTCTCGGCTGTTGGCGTTGAGATCTGTCGCAGTACTCTTCGGTACCAAATGTTTGCCCGTTGAAGTTGAGGCAACCAAACCCCGCGTTTTGCGCGATGTGTGTGGAGCCATGTTATGCTTTTGGACAGCAGTAGGATTCGTCTGGGAAATGGACTCCGGGGGTCGAGATGCGATAGTAAGCAGCGCTGTCGCATATGACAGGTTGATGTTTGCCACGTATGCCACTTCAGGCTTGGGCGGCGGTAGGTGTGGCGGCACCGCCAATGATACGTCTCGCAAGCCAATACGCCTTGATAGGGACGCGTAGAGACACTGCACTAGACCTGCAACGCATCGAGCAGTCGTCGCGCGGCCGAGTGAGCATTGTCGTAGAGGATTGGGCCGAGCAGTCTGGGGAGCGTACGTTTGGCTGGCGACACAGCGAGCGACCGGCGGTTTTCGGAACACGATGATGGCGCGACAGGGCTCTTTTGGATGTAAAAGACATCGCAGGACATGAGATGTCGTTGAAATTGAGTCTCCGTATCGATAGACAAGCTCAGTGCGTGGAGACCTGGACCTGGCGTGGCGGGTTGTGGTGGGGGTGGCAGTTGCGGCCTCTGCGCTCCTGCTCCCACAGCTCCCACAATTCTGGCATCCGACCGTACCGAGGCACTGCTCCTACAACACAGCGTGTTCGCATCAACTGGTACGCTTCCGACTGGTTGGAGGCTTCCATGCGCATACGCTTATTATCACGAAGAAAGAGACTGTCACAACGAGTTGGTAGTCTTGGTGGTAGAACTAGGAACGCTTTTGATTGTGCACTACGAAATATCTCAATATGCGCCAAATACCCCATCCCAATGCCCATTACCCTATATATGCATCATAAAGTCATAAAACACCCTTTCGCGATCCGCCCAGCTCAAATCGCGCGTAACGACTCAGCTTCCGACATGCTCGAACTTGAGGTGCGTCTCGGCGCGAGCTGGCAATCCGCCTCGGCGAGCGCAGCCTGCATCGAGAAGCCAAAGGTGGCTGCGAGGTACTGCGCATAACGAATGCGGTAGGCCTGCGCAGGATCTTCCTTTGGCTTGAGAAGCTCCTTCTTCTGTGATGAGACACCTGCTGGAGAGATTAGATGGGAGGCTTTAGTATGGTTGATCAAATATACCCGATGCGGGATGGAGAACTATTGAAGGCGTCATGGTAGGCGACAAGGTGGGTGAAGATGAAGGTGACGAAGCAGCGGACGAGTTGAATGGAAGAGCAGGCATGATGTCTGGATTCTAATAGATGATAGATGATAGGTGGATGGTGTGGGTCGTGATGTAGGCGGAGCTGATTGGCTGCGGTAGGTAGTTCGAGGTTTGTATGAGGGTAGTTCTCTGGTGTCGATCCCGTCTTGTTTGCGAAAGAGTTTAGATTGGAAACTCGAGATTGGTTGTAGAGTTGCTGTGGATGCGTTTGCTGCTTCGAGAGAAAGATGGGCAGCAGATGATGTCTTTATACGTGGCTGAGGGCTAGGATCGAGGCACCATTCAATCACGATCGCAAGGGCTTCGGAAGCTTCACCGCACAATTAGAAACAGAACGAATCGCGCCGTCACGATAAGTTCCACACAAGAGACACCGATGCATGCATCTCGATCAGCCCGAACCAATGCAACGTAATTGGGGGCAGATTGTTTCCTAGTACAGAAGCGTGATACATGCCGGTTAGCCATCCATGAATGCGCCATTTGTTTTCTGTTACCCCTGGACCATCGCGCTCCCGTAGCGCTTCCCCAGGTTTTTTCATTCGTGTTTGCCTGTTTGAGCGGTGTAATGTTTTGTTGAGCGCCAGGCTACTTTGAGCTCTATGCATGCAATACCTGTTATAGCACACATCACGATGCTCATAGCAAGTATCTAAACTGCGTTGTTCGACGGCACACAGGATGGATGTTGCGTGACGCAGATAGTTCGATACAACTGCATTTGAGTGGCACCACCTGACTAACTTAGCCAACATCGCTGCATTAACCCAGCTGCGGAGCACGTCGCCACACACCGGAAAGGCCAGTAATACGGTTTTTAGAGAGGAGCAAATGACACAAAGCCAATATTCGCTTCTATTTTGCGCTCCAAGATGACGACGGCCCATGTAGCCCTTGCTCATAGTGGGACGACCGTGCGTTGGGTTAAACATCAGCAGCTACGCCACGACTGAGCCATTTACCGGCCACATTTAGTCCTTTTCTCTTTGTCGCGCAGGGCCCAGCCAGCTCACTTTGCACCTGCATAACACTGGGACGGTGTCAGACCTTTCCAAAGAACCACGTTGCTGGCGCACGTCTCCTGGGACGTCGTGGTGCTCTTTGACGACCCATGCCGCGTCGTCTGGCGCCATGCAAGGAAACGGGGAGACCTTTTTCTAGACTACCAGGATCTGCAACTAAACGTCCGCTTCTGAGGGCTGAACCGCAAGAAGCCGCAGCCAAGACTCTCCACCGTGGATGCGGAAACTCATTCGAATTCTCTGCCATGCATTTTGCTGCATGCGCAGTCTGACCCACGTCACACCGGCCCACAGCATAAGACGTCGAAAGCAACTCTTGCGATGGCCCTCGGTCATCCACGATGCTGCAAACATATGCATAGTTTGGCATGATGGCATTTCAGCAGACCAAGGGGGTCTAGAAGCCTCGTTTTACGTACGAGAAAACCGGTGTAGGCCGCCGAAACGTCACGATGTCAAAACGCCGCATTGTTCCAAACGTGTTCTATGCAGGCGCCGCATCACCAGGCCTCGACGATCGATGAGGGGCAGCGCCATAAGCGGGACCGTACTGCGGGGCCGATGCTTTCAATCGGATGGCTCGGCTGAAAGCCGTCATTTGTCTCCAGTCGTCAGGCACACAGCTGTGGCCGCGGCAACTTCACCTTCCTGTTTATTTTGACCCAAGACTTGGCACATGGTCCTTCGTGGACGGGATTTCAGACTTTCCTGCACCGTGTCAGCATCCGGAAAGTGCTTTCCGAGGTTGCATGCACCTCGCTATCAAGCACACAGCCACCCTCCAATGCACGATATTGCCTCAACCCAACGCTAGGCTCATACTGTCAGCACGCGCTTTTGAACATGTCCATGTCGCTGCAGGTGCGCCATTTCCTCAAACAACACCAACACCATTATTCCCGCTGTGGATCTGTCGATCCGGTCCAGTCAACTCTAAAGCAACGTCAATCACCGGGCAGCGCACAGCATGATCAATCACGAAATGCGACACAAGAAAAACGTCAAGTACAGCCATGTTTTTCTGCTCACCGCTACCATGTAAGTTTATCTCGCGGTCGATCAATAGGGCGCGCCCTGCAGGGTGCATGAGCCGATGCCACCAGGGTCGGACGCAGTTGTACCTGATACACACACCCACAACCAACAAAATCGATATGGAATATCGTCTAGTGTGGTTTCACGAATTGCGCGAATATTGCGACAGATACCGTGATGGATATGTCGCAAAGCTTATTTCGACCGCCCTGCGTACCACGATTTGGATGAACCAATGTTTTGCAAAAGAGATGTGCACTTGGATTCAATTTTGGATCGCCTAGTGTAATTTTGAGGCGTTGACCGGAATGTTGACTCTAGATATCGGGCCTACACCCATTCCATATCAAGCTCGCGTATAGTGTGGAACTCAACCGCAATACCAGCCCTAAGCTACGTTCCGATGTGTTCGGTCCGCGCAAACAAAAAACAAAAGAAAGAAAAGCAAGCCAAGACGCTCAACGGCATTGTATCTACCGTTAACGACCAGGATCTACTGAGGTTCGCACTCGAGCTTGAAGTTTCTTCGTGAGTAGTTTCAGGCGTCTTTACTGTGGGCTCGGTAAGCCAGAAAACCAAAATTTGTCTGGTCTGTTGGTCTGAAGTAATTTACCATGAAGACCACGCTCTACCAAAGCTGCCGTTCGTCCATATAGCCAAGCTGTTGACCACGGCCACCGAAGTTGGTCTCGGGTTCACGTGGCTCAGGCGGCCATCTGTCCTGATTCATCATTGGGGGACCACCTTGCATGCCACCGTCGTCGTCTTGCTCGTTGCCCCGTCCTCTACCAACGTCGCCCATGCCATGAACTCTGGCTCCACCGCGCATCGCGTTGCGAAGACCTGGGGGAGCGGCGTGGGGACTAGGTCCGGGAGCAGCACGAGGTGTTGGAGGTGGACGAGGTGTTGCCATGTAGCTTGGGGGACCTCGAGGCGCTGGTGAAGCAGCTGCACTGGCATAACTGGGTGGTGCTGGACGAGGTGTCGGACGAGGTGTTGGCTGAGGCATTGGACGAGGTGCTTGTGGAGGCATCTGAGGAGCATGAGGAGGTCCACCACCACCATATCCAGCAGGTCTCGGCGACATCCCACCGCCATACCCAGGAGGAGGTCCACCCCCATACCCAGCCGGACCACCCCGTCCCAACTGCTGAAACTGCTCCGAATCCTGCCAAATCCCATCTTCCGCCAGAAACTCCGCCCTACAAATCGGACACTTCTTCGCATCATCCGGCCGATTCACCAACATCTCTTTCAGACACTCCCTCCCAATAAGATGATTACACCCAGGAATATTCTTAATCTGAACACACAAATGCGACGCGCTGGGCGGCTCCAGACAAATCGGACATTCTGCATTTGGGGGTGTGATGGGTCCGCCTAAGGGCTGTGTTTGCTCGGCCAGGAAGTCGGCGATGAGTTCGGAGGTTTCGCTTGTGAGACCGTTGGACGGGGGCATGGGTGCTGGTTCGACTTCCATTCTGAAGGAAGGGTCGCGGGGTCCGGTGTTGGGTCCGCTGCGCCCGTTTGGAGGGCCGTTGGCGCCGTTGCTGCGGAAGGGGTTGGGGCCGCTCCAGAAGGAGGAGGAGAAAGCGCCTGGTCCGGTGTTTCGGCCGCCTAGGAGACTTCCTGGGTGTGGGCGTCCTTGTGGTGGTGGACCTTGGCTCATGCCCATTCCTCCACGGGCGGAGTTGCTGAAGGGACCGCCTGGACCGTAACCTTCTTCGTGTCTGTTGCCGTCCGAGTCTTGGTATGTGGAGTAGGAGTGTGTCTGGCCGCCTGTCATGGGACTGCCCATTCCGCCGCCGTACGTGGGACCTGGGCTGCGCATGCCACCCATCATGGGAGGCGAGTTGTCGTAATCCTCATACGGGTTCGGTTGAGGCTGGCTTGGTCGGCCTCCACCGCCACCCGTACGACCACCGCCAGAGCGGAAAGGGTTTGAGCCCCCAAAAATGCCACCTTGGAAAGCTGGCATGGTAGGTGTAGTTTGGCGTCGTTTGGAAGTGTTAGTGAGATGGAGTCTGGCTTCTCGGGTTGTGGGTGAGGATCCGGTGACTGTGCTAGATGGTGATTTGTTGTAAGAAGGACTGGTAGGTTATTGTAGCCGGATAAGTGTTGAAACGTGACAGTACAGTGTATGTGGTGAAGATACGCTCGCCGGTGACTGGAGCGGCGAAGTCTGTGAAAGTAAATGTTGCAGACAACTTCAAAGTATCTTGTTCAGAATTCGTCGGTCAGAGTCGTGGTTGAGGTCACTCTATCGTCTAGCATGTTGCGACTGAAGAAGCGGAAGACCCCTGGAAGGACATATACGTCGTAGCTCAACGCCGTAGTCAGCCAGACGAAGACGGTGAAGAGGGCAGTATCTTCTACGCGTGACCTTCTCTCGGTCCAGACCTGGTGACTGAAAGTTAGTCGGAACGGTGATGAGCTCCGGTGTCATCGGCGCGAGATCATGAACACAAGAGCATGCGCATAGTGTAGGAACAGTGAATTGTATGCAATGTAGATATTTTCATGGTAAGGCATGTCGGGAGAGAAAGTACAGTATCCTGGTAATCTTAGCCGTCATACGCCGTCACCAAGATGGCCTCACTGCCCATGTCGCCCACACCACCGACGAGATGACATGCCCACCAAGTCTGAACGCATTCAGCAAGAGCGGGTCAAAGTCCAGAGCCCATCAACCTCAAGAATTCTCAAGCTTCCTTAGCTGTTCCTCAAGTTGGCAAGGCGCCCGCCAGTGAAAGTGGGACTAGCTGCTCTACTCCTGGTCTTGGGCTGCGGTGTTGCACTCGTTCCTCTGGTGCCTACACCAGGCCTACCTCCCATACTCTTGAGACGAGCTATCTCATCGTCTTTTGTCATTAATGTACGCTTCGTAATGCTCAGCTCCATTTCCAACCTCTTGATACGTTGCTGTTGATCATCATAGACTCTTTCAATATGCATGCTCTTCCGCTTAGTGGCGTCACCTGAAGCCGCCTTGGAAAGTGTGATGTGCTGGGCCTCGAGTTCTTCAACGCGGGCGGTGGCGGTAGAGGCCGTGGACCGGGCATCCTGCAAGCTTTCTCTCATGTAATCCAACGTCTGCTCTGCTGCCGCAGCCTTCTTCACTGCCTGCTCCGTCTTTTCGTTCGCTTCGTCGAGCTGGTTGCGAAGCTTGGCGATCTCTTGAAGTCGTGCATCGTCTCCAAGGAGGGCCGTCTCCCGCTGTTCCTTGAGCTTCTCCTTCACCTCACGCATTTCTGTTGTACGCGTCGTGAGGCGTTCGGTGAGAGTAGCGTTGTTCCTGGTCAACGTCTCGACTTTGTCCTCGGCGTCTTGTAGTCTTCTCTTTACACGGCGATGCTCGCTTGCCAGATCCTCATGCACTGTTTGTTGCCTGTCCCACATATCCTTATGCTCACCAAAGTCCCTTTGACCTGCTCTACGAGCCTCTCGCTCTTCCCGAAGCCCTTCTTTCGCATGGGCTAGCTGTGTTCGCAGATCAGAATCGTAAGCTGCAGTGCCAGGCATGGAATCGCTAATATGCGTGACTTCGTGCTCTTTGTCCGCCGCAGAAGCAGATACTGTCTGCGGTTGGGGAGTGAATCGCATACGCTTTGCAGGGTCGAGCTCTTCGTCATCCAGAGGGCGTTTGCTACGTTCAGGTATAGGGGCATCCGTTGAGTTCTGTTGGGTCTGTTGGGTCTGATACTCTATGACGTCCTTGACACTACCGATAGAGGACAATGGCCAATCAGCACCTTCCATCCTGTTCTTGATCCAGTAGGAGACCAATTCAGCGCACTCAACGTCTCGTGGTGTGCGTTCATCGATGGCTTTTCCAACATCAGGATGAACATGTGCCAGGCTCGCTAGGATAGTGTGCATGTGATCAATGGGATCCAGGCTGGACGTTATGTACCGTTCAATATGGCCGACAGTCCTCGGAATGACTAGATGAAGCACGGGTACCACATCGCAATTAGGTGATTTGGCCCAATTCTTTTTGCGAATTTGTGCTGCGTCTTGCACACCGTCGAGACAGATGATCAGGTCGGGAACATGTATGATGGGCGATGCATCGCTTGGGATGATGGTGACCAACAAGTTACCTACCACCTCTTTCAGGTTTGCCTTCCGATCTTTACCAGGCATAGTGTAGTTGATGTACGTTGTCTTACAGAACGTCTCAAGGATGCGGAAGAGTGTCTCGTTGTCACTCTCTGTGACTAATACAACGTGTTTTTGCGGCTCGCAATGCCGCAACTCATTGAACAGCGCTGACAGGAACCTAAATTTGGTGGAATTCTCCAAGCCAAATCTAGCTGCGTGCTCTGCTTGCGTTGCCGACGCCTCACCATCTAAAACGTTCGATTCAGCCTCAGCGAAGACCAAGTCCATGTGCGTCTCGATAGCGCGAAGCTGGGATAGGATGTTTTTGACCTCCTCGACTGAGTTGAAACTGTGACGATCCTTCAGGAATGGCTCTAACAGATCCCTCTTCGCGGTGATGTACTGGGCGTACGTATCTCTTTGTCGACCCGAGATATACAAAGGCACGATGAACTCCTGGTCTACCAGCTGGAGATCATCATTGAAGAGGCTCTCGCTATCTTCATCGTCTGCGTCGCTGACCTCCATCTCGTCGGATGTGGGAGATCTTGGTACCGGTACGATAGGCACTGATACCGTTATCGTTTCAGCGATAGTAGGCTCTGGATGATTGCGTGGTGGTGAAGTCATGACCTTATCTGGTGCGGGAGCTTCTGGCTGCACGTTGCTAGGAGCATAGGCGATATTCCGGAGCGACGTCGGCGCTTGCGCAAGAGGGGAGCGGTCTGGCACAGCGGAAGGCGATCGAGTGCCTTCTGCCGGCTCTTGCGTCTCACGTAGCCTGCTCACTGGCGTAGGCGTAGCTGCGGGCGCATTTTCCACTACTGAAGGCGTCATCGAAGACCTGGGACGCCTTCTGGGAGTACGGCGAGACTCTGCTATGCGCTTATCGATGGCTTCTTGCATCTGCCGCCTAATGATGTCTCCGGTACCCTCGCCCGCCATGATTGAGAGCGATGAGGTAGGAACAGGCGTACAAGGCCGTGATGGAAGTCGAGATGCTTGCGTTTGCAGCGAGTAGCTGGGTGGGTACGGAACCGGCGAGGTCTCGTGATTCAGCGATCTGGAAGGGCGTTCTGGCGATTCCTGCGATGAGTCGTGACGAGACTCAGAGCTAGCCCGATGCGCCACCTCTTCTTCGATAGTATCTCGTATGCTCTCAGCTGTATCTTCTTGCGTGCTCAGATCTGCCTCAAGAGGTACTACTTGCGCGTTCTGTACGCGCTCCGGACTGGATGACGCGTGCAGCAGTTGATCACGCAGAGACAGCTCTTCTTGAAGCTGGCCTGACGGTGAGACGCTGTGAGCAGCCTCAGGTTCGAGAAGTTCCACTAGCGTGTCGTTGTGATCTTGGTGATGGGGTGCAGTGGATGCTTGGACTGATGGGTGAGGTGGGTCGAGCGCTGGCGCCGGATTGGATTCGCTTGGCACACTTACCCCAGCAAGTACTCGTCCTGGGAGGGCCGGTGTCGCGCAAGCTTGTGGGAGCTGTTCTGAGGACTTGATACAAGATACGGATTCTGAAGGCTGAGATGGACGATACGGGTATTGCGACTGAAAAGGAAACTGTTCGTTGTCTTCCAATGCCGAATGCTCAATCAGACTTGGTTGACTGTCGCAAACGCTGATCTGCTGCAAAGCTTGATGTTGCGACGGCTCGTTACCACCGTCGGAGACTTGTGTGTCGCTAGCTACGTTAGGCCTTTCGGTGTGATGAGATTGGCTGTTTTCGACTAGTGTAGAGGGTTTACTGAGTGAGGTCGGGACTTCGTTTGTGTCAACAGCCTCAGTCGAAGCATTCCTTGTAATGTCCGTAGCCGGCGATTCCAAACGAGGGTGTTCGCCCCGTGTATCGGTCTCCTTGCTTGGGGTCGTCTCGCATGCGCTTTGTGCTGAGTGAGTCTGCGAAGCGCGGGGATCAGCCTGGGGCGCCCCAAGCTCGTTGGTTCCTACTCTCTGATGCTCGTCCTCTGCAACACCCTGATCGATTTCGCTGTATTGAATCTGCAGACTATCCTCCGGTTCTGGGCTCGACTCGTGTTCCACCTGTGAGGAAATATGTATGAATTCGAGTGTGTTCGGAGCACCTTGCGACTCTGCCTCAGGTCTCTGCCGCTGGCTCTGCGAGTCTGCTACGGTGGTATCGGGTATCGTCTCGGGTATCGATCGTGCAGGTGACGGGGCGTGTTGTGCGGCTTCTTCGATGAGTCCAAGTAGGCCCTGCAAACACTGGTTAGCAAATACACTGATATCTGGGTATGACAAGGACTGGTCATACCGAATCTTCAGCAAGATCTTCCTCCACTTGCGATTCGTTCGTATAAGTGCTCTGCTGGCTGACGTCCTCGGTCCGTTGGGTCGTGGGTACGAAGCTTCCTTCGCCGCTGGAACTCTGCGAGTCGGGGACTATATCTGACAGATGGGGTCGTGGGCGTGCTGCGAACAACTGCGAGCTGTCGAGGTTGGTGTCCTGGGTAGGCTCTTGGGTCGGAGCTGGCTGAGATGATGGTGTCTGCGAGAAACGCACGTAGTTGTCCCTCTCGAGACTGTCACCCCGTCGAGCGATCTGGATGCGAGGCGAAGCACGAGGTACGGACACTGCGGCACTGGGCAGTCCCTCCGAGTCGGCTCGATTGTCGAGAGGTGTCGAAGGCGTAGAGGATGCGGTGCTGGGCTCCGGGCTGCTGTCAATCACACGGGGATTGCGGATGCGCCTCGATGCTTGTGCCTCCTGTGGTTGCTCAGGGTGTCCGTTGTCGCTTCCTGGATATTGTTGGTGGACTTCTGCCAAGATGCGCGCCTTCTCCTGTGCCCAGTGGGCGACGAGCAGGTCGTTGGCGTTCTCTTCCGGCTCCCAAGTCGGTTCCCACGTCTTTCCAGTCTTGGGGTCAATCCCTTGCCATTGGATGTAGTATTTGCGTACACCACGGACTACTCGTTCGTCGAGAATGCTCTCCGCTGCCCACAAAGTGTCGCTTTGGCTGCCGGCTTCGCTTTGGCTCGAATCGACGTATCGTGAACGTTTGTTTGTGTTGGACCTCGTCGAGTTGCGCTTTCTCTTGGGTCGCGCCATTACGCGCAACGTCCGTTGGAGATTGTGGTTGAGTAGGTCGTCTCCATTGTGGATAGGAAGAGGTGAGAGTATTAGTGTGCCGGGCCGTGGGCGGGTGAGTGGTGAGTGGTAGGTGGTGAACGGTGATGGTGCGGGACTACCCGCGACTCAGATGACGAGCCCGCGGTGGACGCGTCTTGACGCGTTCCCGACTGCAGTGCCGCGGCATCACTGACTCAAAGCCGCCACATCAACTTGGGGATTCTAGATGCTTGTGCCACCACCTTGAGCTTAAACATAGAGCATTTCTTGCGTTATCTTCGTCCGCTACGTTAAGAGCATGCTACGAGGCACGTATACCAATGTCGGTGTCACTGTCAAGACATCGAACCGTACGGCCAAGTATACAATGAGTAGATTAGGCAAGCTATAAGATAATCGAGCCACCCAGAGAAGGGCTCTGAAATCTTTCGTAAGAATGTACATGCTTCCTCCAAGGAATGCTGGCATGTGGTGGATATCCTACAGTTTTGCGCATCGATCCTGAACGCAGGTCTGCGCACGCCATTTGGTCGCATGCGTTCACACCTCATCTCAGTATCTCCCGCCTCGTCCGTTACCCCTCCAGCCTCCCCTGTTGCCGTTGTTGCCACCGCGCTGCCCACCTCCATAACCGCGTCCGCCTTGGTATCCGCCACGGCTCTGACCATACTGACCATTGTTGCCAGGACCGAAGTTGTTACCATACTGGTTGCCGCCCTGATTTCCGAATTGGTTGCCGCCCCGGTTTCCACCCTGGCCTCCGTGATGGTTGCCAAATTGGTTGCCACCCTGGTTGCCATGTTGCGGACCGTTGGGTGGCATGTTCATATTGGGAGGTGGAGGCTGCCACATGCCGTTGAAGTTGGGGGGTGGGGGAGGGGGAACGAAGCCACCACGTCCTTGGAACTGCGGTGGTGGAGGGGGAGGAACACCGAATGGCGGCATTGGCATCGGGAACTGGCCTTGGAACTGGCCTGACATGTGCGGTGGTGGAAACGGCGGTGCGTTGAAAGGCGGCTGATGCAGCATGGGCGGGACCTGATGCTGATGGTTGTTGGGGCTGGACTGGGTGTTCCTGTTCGCACCACTCCACTGCGATCCAGGCTGTGATCCTTCTCTGTCGTATGCCCTTGATGACGGTCGCGCCTCGACGAAACCTCTGCCCTCAGACTCTCGACGCGAAGGTCCATGTGGTGAGACCCTGCGGCGACCCATGGATCCGTCGGGTGACATTCGACGGCGTGCGTCGTCATACTGATAACCCCCGGGGCTACGGCGACTGCGACTGCGACTGCGGCTACGATTGTATCCCCTTCTTCGCTCCCTATAGGGTGGGCCCGACTCTGTCGACGAGGAAGTAGAGGGTCGACTATCGTGGCCAACGCGACGCGCGACAGACAAGACCGGGGGGTCCTCCATGTCCTCCATGCGTTCTATGTCCTCTCGCGCGATCTTGATAGTCTCCGGGACAGTGAACTTCTGTATGTCTTGACAAAACTTTGGCGACCAGCCGTAGCCGTTTGCCACTGTTGCCGTCTCGCCAGTCTCCTTGTCCTGCTTAACCAGCTGGCCCATAGGATCCAACGAAAGCCTATACTTGGTTGTTTCCCCGGTCGGATTGTCGCCCGTGGGCAGGTACTTTAGGTCGATGTTTTCGAAGAAGTTGTCGAGGAGAGTGCGAACGTGCGAGCTGACAGGCTTCTTGTCGAACTTCCGTATCTTGATCTGAGATTCGTGGATCGGGCGGTTCGGGTTTCTGATTATAGGCTCGAGCATGTACGATGCGGGGAGATCGTGCCATCGGGCATTTCGGTCGCCGTGGTATTCTGGAAGGACGTAATTGCGCTTGCGACCCTGTGCTACGGACAAGGCCTCGTCTGCCTTGTGCCGACAAGCTTTCAGACCCTCTGAGCTCAAGAGCTTGTTAACAGCCCAGTAGTTGACAATGGCCTTCAGCTTCACCTCTAGCTGCGATCCCTTCTCGGTGATACACGCCGCTGCGAGTTCGATCAAGTCAGGGACAAAATCTTGACACGCGTTGCCAAGAATACTCTGCTTCGTCGTGTCGCGACGATGGAACTTGTCAGCATGGAGGGCATCGTTGACGATCAACAAGAGATCCATCCGGTTGCGCGCTGCTTTCTTCGCTGGCGCTGGAGTGCTCTGATCTACTACGACAGACTTTGAGACAGCGATGAGATACGCGCCGAGGGTGGTGATCCGAGCCTTGGAGGGAGCTACGTGCTTCACAATCCATTCTGTGCATTTCTACGAGCGGCGAATTAGTCTGCTCCCGGTGACACGTGATCGATAGTTTTATAGCTAGATACCTGGATATTGATGGGCGAGTTCTGCTGAAGAACGGCATCAATGTGGTTGAAAAGCTGGGAGCTAATTTCGACTGCAATGGGCGCTGAACGATCTTCGGCATCGGGATCTTTCATTGCCTGCTTGAACTTCACCTGCGCAATTGTTAGACCTGACTTGCGCTTAGCATCATCATTTGGCGCCATGTTTGGCGACGTGAAGTTGCGACAATGAGTTCGTGGTGGGGAAGGAGGTCGGCATGGGTGTCGCGAGGGTGTTGATGTTTCCAAGCTTGCGAACGCGAACGACGCTAAGCTAGCGCGCCTTCCGCATCGTTCACCCCGCCATCGGCCAAGGCAATCACAAATATGTCCGCCAACGACGCCATCCAAGATGAGGTCACCTCGCTCAACGCCATCTTTGACGAAGGCACCCTGTCAGCCTTAGATGAAGACCAACGACTATACAGTCTACGTCTGCCGTCGCTGCCATCCATAACTCTACGTATAGAATTTCCGGCAGACTATCCGGATGCGCCGCCATCCGTGCTGGGCACTCAGAGTGTGGGACAAGATGTCCCCAAGGGTATGGGCAGCCAGGCTGTCGATGTAGTAAGAGAAGTGCTAGCAAGGATTTACCAGCCCGGCGAGGCATGTATCTACGATCTGCTAGAAGAGGCAAGAGAGGCTTTGGAGCAAGCGGAAGAGCAAGGAGACATCCAACTACACGATCAACAGGACGCGCACTTAGAAGAAGACAAAACTTCACTTATACAGTCCGACCCAGCCATCGACCTTGGACCGGAGCCACCTTGGATCGTAGCACCCGCCCTTACCGAGAAGAAGTCAGTTTTCTTAGCTCGCGCAGCACCTGTATCATCACCAGCACAGGCTAGACAGTACGTCGCGCATCTCCTGGCGACAGACAAGAAGGCTGCTCGCGCAACTCACAACATGACTGCCTGGCGGATCAAAGGCTTCAATGAAACGAGCTACCAAGACTGCGACGATGATGGTGAGACCGCTGCTGGCTCGCGGATGCTGCACTTGATGCAGTTAATGGATGTTTGGAACGTCATGGTGATTGTCACAAGATGGTATGGTGGTATACACTTAGGTCCTGATCGCTTTCGCATCATCAACACTACGGCTAGAGAGGCATTGGTCTTGGGTGGCTTTGCAAAAGAAGGCAAAGAGAGCGATACGAAGAAGAAGGGGAAGAAGTAGAAGAAACACATAACATGCTCGCTGTGAGACATTTATTTAGTCTTCACACCCTCCCCCGTTCACCTGACTCTTTCCGGTGCACTGGCATACTCCCCCAGCTTTCACCTGGCCCTGAGCAATGTCAATACATAACGCTTCCAGAATCTACTCACATCAGAGTGACCTCTCATTCACTCAGCTGCACAGACCTTCGCCTATTTAAGTCGCGCCTGTTTCATATTGGACACTCACCGTAGCACTCCGCGCTTCTCTCACTCACAACCACTCAATCACTGGACCTTAAAGAACGAAACCTTCGACACATACTATTGAGAATGAGTTATTCCGGTCGTGGAAATCATAGATCGAGCTCCGGCAATCGTGCGGGTCAGCATTTCGGCACACGTGGACATCGTATCGGCGGCGGCGGTGGTGGTGGTGGTGGTGGTGGTGGCGGCCATCCGCATCAAACACGCAGCCAGGCTACAGCGTATGTTCCCCAACGCTCTTGTCAGCCCCCTCACATTGTGTTCATCGAGGAGGAGGAAGACGATGACGATGAATACGAAACTGACATCAGACACTCTAGTCCCCACGGGTTCCACGATGCTATGCACCATCTAGCCGACACTATGGCGGACCTGGACAGCATGCTCGGCTCTAGGCCACAAAGCCAAAGCATGCGAGGTACTTTCGGTCCAGGATTTCCTTTCGACGACGCAGACGGTGTTCCGGGGTTCGACGCCCTTCATATCGGTATGGGTGCTGCGTTCGATAGTGCGTTTGAGGGAGCCTTCAGCCATCCCATCTTCTCTGGAAACGACATCGCTCATGAACCTAGAGCTAATAGACCTGGAAGCAGTTTCGGCGCGAACTTTCCATTTGGACCTAGCAGCCACACTCCCATCCATGTTGGAGGCTTTGGACGCGGCGAAGACCTGCCTTTCCATGCTCACCCCACCCCACCACGTCGAACTGGGTACGTTCCAGCCCCTACACGAGGCGGTTTCCCAGTCGAATTTGAACCTCATCCCCTCCCATCAGACTACCAACCCACTGAAAGCAGCGAGCAGCGCATCAATAACTTCATCGCACGCAATACCGAGCCCCTCACCGCCGCCAACACGACTAGCACGACAAACACCGACTGCCCAGTCTGCATGGAGAACGCTGCGGCTCATCCTTGTGTCAAGATCAAGGGAATCCAAGGCTGCGAACACATGATAGGTCGAGACTGTCTCAAAGAATTCCTGAAACAACGACCGGATGACGAGAAGACGTGTCCTCTTTGCCGAGCTGTCTGGCTTGTAGAGAACGGCGTTTGGCAGGATTCTGATCAGTGGAGTGAACGTATTGCTCAGGCAAACCTAGGCCATCGTTTCGCGAGGTGGTAGAGATGACATCGCATCGCAACAAGGTAGTTCTTAGAGACGAGGAAGCGAAGGCTGATGAGATCTGTGGGCAGCACTATTGCGCGTTGTAACCATGAAGCGGGTCTATGAGTCGAGATGAAGTCGGACTGGTTCGTTGATTAGATAGATAAATTAGCGTTCGTTCTGAGAGATGAAAAAGGATTTGAGAGCTGGCAGGTGTGTGATAAGTCACAAGAATGTAAGCCAGCAATCATTTTTTTATATTGATGTCATTTTGACGAAGCATTGATGATCGGCAAAAGCCGGACACCGTGAAGTTCACGCGGGCGCTAGGCCTTCTACCCTTCGCATTACACCCTCAAGTCGTCTGTAGACCTGTTCAAATCCCTCTTTGTATGAGGCTGTTCTATTTCGGTGGGCCAGTAGCGAGCAACTGCTCGGTTATCCTCCGAAGTTCGGCCTGGATCTCTGCGTCGAAGTAGTTCCAATTCGGAGGTGCCTTGAAGTGGCCCTTAGCCGTATGGTCTTTTCCTCTCCGACTGATTATTGTGGCATATTGAGGAGGCCGGTCGTCTGGGTCAAGCATGGTGAGCTGCATGGATGTCTCGGCGTGCAGTACCTGTTCAAGTTGCCTTATCTTTGCCTCATATTGACGTCGCCTCCTTTCGCCCCCTTCCACCGCGGGCTCAAAGTGGTTGCGTGCAAGGCAGATGTATGTATGTTGTAGGGCGCAGGATGCGAGTACATCATATCTGAGCTTGAGGTAAGATACTATGCTCGACATGCTGGTGACTTCCACGGAGAACCGGGCATCGTCAAGCAGCGAATCCGGGGTCGTAGCAGGGGAGACATCGGCGGTATCCAGCTTGATTACCCACGAGAGCTTGTCGCTAACGGAACGTGCAAAGGTAAATTCTGGATGTATCTTATCATTCTTGATCATCCACTCGCCAGTCTTGACGATCAGTCCTTCTTCAGAGTCGCGCTTTATCGCGGCGATCGTGCGTGGATAGTCCGTCTGTGTTAAAGGAGTCATTCGGTAAGACGTTCGCTTGAGGATGGTCGCGCATGGAAATAAGCAATACGCCTTATTCCAAGAGATGAAGCATGCTCGAGCGGAGCACGCGCAGCCTTTGAGAATTGCGTCGATGGGAGAATGGATACAGTGAAAGAGAGTGACTGAAGTTTCGCCGCCGTCCCTAGTCGATGTCTTTTTGAAGCAAGAAAACTACCAGTAGTTAGTCAGGTACGTATGGAAAATGGTGTAAAGCAATGAAGGCCCACCTTTGAGCTGCCAAATTCTACGCTTCCACCCTCGACCCCAAAATCCAAAACATAGCCATCCTGTTTGAGATAGCTAATGAGAGCATCCGCCTTCTCCCCAGCTTGCGTAAAGAGCTGAAGTTCATTCTTGACTTGCAGACGACGGAAGAACTTTCCGGCGAATTTGCTTCCGATCAGAGTCTCGGTCTGGGCCTGCACAGAGCGGAACTTTCGAGTGTCTTTGAAGAATGGCTGCAGGCTTGTGTTCATGTTCCACTGGGTCTTCTTCATGTTCGCGTACAGATCCGATGTCTTTCTGCAGGCTAACTGAACATTGCGTATATCATCAATACCCAGGTAAGATGTGACGAGTGAGTGCGTTGTGTAGCGCGACTCTCGATTGATGACAAGATCCATGAGGTCTGACACTGGATTCGGGGGTGGGCGCGGCAGAGACATGGATTGGACTGTTGGAGGCGAGATTTCTCCGAGTTCTTCCACGCGCGCTTTAGCAGGCTCGTTCGAGGGTTGATTGAGTTGAGCCATCGTGGTCGATAATAAGTGTGGAATGCGGTTGGGTAGATCGATGCAGCCTTGAGAGAAGAGAAACGAATGATATAAGTACTCAAGGCGTAGAAACCGATTAGGTGAAAGCCGGGATAGATAAAAGGAGGCAGTATACCACGCGGGCCCGTCTGAGTGAAATAGACTCTGAGCTGGATTACGGTGCCTTAAGCTGAGGCATCGAGTGCGTGTAAGAAGAGTGGGTTCTTCTCTGCAAGAGAGTTCTCAGCCCATTCACTGAAGTGCTCGATTCGCAACTGGCACTTGAAACCTCTTTCTCCCCTTCCACGACCAATCCACAGCAGCGCCTAATATGATCGCCCCTAGAATCGGTCCAGCATTTTCATGTTGAACCTGTCCACAGGGAGGATAGTGGGCAGTGGCATCCAAACAAAGGTGAAGACAATGTAGCACAAAGCTCCAACGTTGATGTATGCGCCAGCTGCGCCCATCTTGAATGGACCCCATGGAATTGGTAGAGGCCTCGCGCTTATCGTCCGACGCCAGAAAAGGAACAAGATGGGCAGAAAGTACGATAGGTACAAGCCCATTGCCGGAAGGGAGATAAGAGCGTTGAACGCCGTACTCGATGCAATGTTGATAAGAGCCAGGATACAAACGCAGAGGCCGCTGAGACACAATGCGTTGACCGGTACCCTCAGCTCAGGGTGGACCTTAGCAAAGGTATGCGAGAACGGCAATCCCTCGTCCTTGGAGAACGCCCAAATAAGACGAGAAACCGAGGCGAATATGTTGAAGAACGATACGAAGATTATGTAGACCAGCATGAACATGAACAAATTTGTGGCTGCTTTAGATCCCGTGGCCTGATAGTAGACTTCGATAATTGGTAGAGGCGAAGCGGAAGCGCGATCCACGTCTCCAATCGTGAAGAGAACGGTGATCATGTAGATAAGTTGCATGAGACCATTCATTCCGACAGAGAAGATGATGGAGCGCGGAACCCGGGTATGTGCTTGCTTGACTTCGTCGGACATGTGGATTACGCTATCGAAACCTGAACTCATCAGTATAGCTGCGGCAAGCCAGGAATCTATCAGAACTTACCGGCCAGCGGTTATACAGCAGTGATCAGCCCTATACCCCAAGCCACCGTAGGGTTTCTCCAACCACTGATGTCGTGGGTCAAGGTCTGAAACACATATTCCGTGGAACTCTTTTCTGCCATTACAGCCAAGGTAACGATACCCGCAAAGAAGAACGCGACATGGCATATTGCCCCCACTGTCTGGAGGACGTTGATAATTCTAGGAAGCCAAAGGTTGCCGATGAACGGAATTATCGTCGAAGCGCACATGATGAGTGTTGTGTGCCACCGCTGAACCACGTACCCTGGGTTATTGAAGGAGGCCATAGCGGCGACGATATTCGATATTAGCGCTGCATTCGAAGTGCAGCAACAGATCCAAGCGAAGACGGTGATCCAGCCTTGCATCAAACCGAAGAAGCGATTATATATTGGCGCGAAGGCGGCAGACCACCGGTATTGAGCACCAACTGTAGGGTCCATGGAAGACATTTCGGCAAGCGATAAGGCTACGAGAATGGTTCCCGCCCATGCGAATACGCTACCGTAGACGATGGACGCTGGCCCGCCATTGCTCAGTGCGAACTGAAAAGTAAGCGCGGATGCTTCCCAGGAACATTGCATGAGGAAGGAAAAGTTCACAGAAGAGGAGGCGTTGATGTATCGCTGCAAGCCATTAGTGAAAGCCCATGTTTGAGCTGTGGTCTTACATCTAGTGCCCCTCCTCCAAGATCCTGCGTGCCATTGGTCCCCTGCTCCTCGATTGCTTGTTGCACAGCATTCTTCTCAGCGCTGATAATATCGCATCTCACGTCAATCGGTCTTATTCCTGTCGCATTTGTCATTTCTGTCATCGGTAATCAGGTGTTTCGTAATCCAGGGAGTTACCTTCAGAAGATGGGGCCTATGTTCTTATCAGTACCACCAGCCTTGCAAGATCAGTAACCCAAATGTCGAGCTGCATACATGACCGATGAGAGTACGTTGTACAACGTGAAAGCATGCCTGTTTATTCGGCCGTCTTTTGTGGCGGGCCTACGAGTGGCGTCCACTGCCAGCAGCATGCATGTCATCATGCACAGAGAGCTATGCAGTAGAAGCTGCTGAAGTGCTCGATTAACCAATCTGAAGCTGAAAACAGTATGCCACGGCGCATTGCGTTCAGAATCTCATTTCGTGATGGGTCTACTACCCCCATCACGGCCGCCGGCCCGGGCCTGCTGGGGTAACACGCAGCCATGAACGTCCACCGTGAAGTTGCGGTCTTGAGGACGAGATCAGAAGATGGAGCGCAGCACCCCAATGAAGATGCAGCACTTCAAGAAGAGCGGATCTCCTTGCATGATGGCGGCTGTGGTGGAACCCGGTAGCGACAGCGAATGACGTCATCGCTAGACTCGGGCGGCTCGATAATGGGCGATGGAGAAGCGAGGTTCCCAAAGGCCTTGCGGTACGCCATACAATGCGATACAGAACACAGCCAGTGCCCGAATGGGAGAAGATCAAGGTGGTGTAGATGGTGCAAATTGCAACGTGATTGAGCCGCCCCTTCTTTGAGCGCTTGAGCTAGCGTTTTAGCGTGACCGGCCCCCCGAAGCCTTCAGCCTTCGCAGTTACAGCCCACACGCTCCGCCATCCACATTATCATCAAACGACACGCATCCGCCATGCATCAAACCACCGAGGCACCACGGCTGGCTACCCTACTGTCTCGAACCTGATCGAGCTCGGAAGCTCCTACAGATCCCGGCATCTCGTGCAGTTGACTCTCCGCACTGGCCAGTTGTGCAGCCTCACTGCCACCCTTCTCATATCGATAAATCTCTTTTGATGGCTGTTCTTCAGGTGCAACATAGGGCGTAGGGGCATCCCGCGCCTTCTTGCGCCAGCGCAGCGCCTTAGCGATGAATATGCCTAATCCGATCAAGGCGATGGCTCCGATCGAAGCCCCAACACCGATACCAGCTTTTGCACCTGTGGAGAGCTCACTGTCACCAGTGGCTATTGGCGTATTCGACGGAGACGACGATATCGTGGACGACGCGATCGAAGATGCGGTCGAAGAAGAGCCTAATGAAGACGTCAGGGTGGGTATGGGGTCCCCAAATTGCGCTGCTATGGTGTATCGCGGTGTTGTGCTCCCATCCGTGCAGCATTGAGTAGTGTTACCGCAACACCAGGTCAACGAATCAACGTCACCGGTGCATGGTGTCACTTTGGTATCTTTGCTTCTTTGTAAAGAATCCTAACCGTCGTCAGTTTTGATGGCCTACTAAGAATTTTGCATGAATCGTACCTCGTCCGAACAAAGCTCCTGGCATCCTCCTTCCCCCCAATTGCTTTTCGTACACGACTCTCGCCAGATGGCCCCGTCAGCCTTATTCTGACACAGCCCGTTCCTCAGTAAGTTATCCCAACGAGCACAGCAAATGTTGCTAAGAGGATCCTGGGTGTTGTTGAGTTGTGTCGAGTACGCACTGTTTGTGTTTTCCGTGCCGTTGCGCCAGTAGCAGGCTGCCATTACAGGCTGCAAGCAAGCGAGTTGCAACAGGAATATGAAAGAGAAGATTCTGCGCGACATCACGAAATGATGGACTAACTGAAGAGCTGGACAATCGAGGAGACGCGACTCGGGCTGGTATTAGTATTCAGCAACACACCCCTTTCGCGCATTTGGCTTACGACCGCTCGCGAGGCGCTTGGGGCCGACACAACACCCATTCGTCGCAACTACAATCTGTGCGATGAAGTCCATTGGAAATAGAGCTTGGGCAGTAAGCGAGGTACACCATTCCGCTCAGCTTTGTGGTACCCAAAGTTGACACCGGTTGGTCAATATGCTAGCAGTAATCTCGGTCACACGTAAGCCTTCGCCCCAACGAATTTGTTCGCCTGTTCTTGGCGCGTATGACCTTCTAAAGGTAGCTGATGCACAACTTACATTGCACTTGACGCGTTGCGCTGCCTATGTGCCTATTCGTGTCATGCAAGATCAGGTTCCACTTCAGCCATCGACCCGGCTTTCGCATCAACTTCATTTCACCATCGTGAACATCATTGCTCGGATCACAAACCATGTCGCCTGCTTCAAAGTCCTTGGGGATGAGGATTTATATGTACTCGAGATTGTTAATATATACAATGAAGTTGCTCCTACACCTCGTCCAAATTCGGCGGTCAGCACCGCGAGATGCTCCTAATGGGGAAACAGCGAAGGACCTATGTGCAGATCTTCCTCGCCCCGTTTCCGGTGAGACTCCATTTGGTCTTATTGACAGTGCACGGGTTCTCCGTCACACTGGTTCCATCAACCTTCAAGGCGATGGCAATATCCCTGCTGTTCGCAAACTCGGTCCTGGCCGCGAGACGAACCTCACCACCACCACTAACAGTACCAGCCTTGATGTTGACATTGTAGCAGTTCTCGAGCAAAATGGCGTTGTTACCCGTGTTGGCGACATCGATCGTACCGATCTCCGCACCTCCGGAAGCAGATACACAGAAGATACCGCGGCCACCACCACGAGCCTTGACGCGGTTGACGTAGATGTTGGTGCCGTATCCGCCGTTGACCTTTCCGGCTTCGTTGGCGAAACGGAGAGCCGCGTAGCCAGTGCCAGCGCCGCAATTGTCGCAGTCCACGGTGCCGACCTTCGCGTTGGTGACCTTTTGGAGGAGAAGACCGCATTCTCCGACGTTCTTGCCGACGACTGAGCCGATGTCGAGCTTGTCGATGTTCCTGAAGATATGAAGTCAGCGTATGTCTTGCATGCAATATGTGCACTCATATCCTTACCATGTCTCGACGCAGTGCGACGTGCCGCCGTTGCAGGTGATGGTGCCCATCTTGACGTTTGTGTTGGCCGCTCGGTCGCGGTCGAAACGGATGCCCATTCCCTCTTTGAGGTTGAAGTTGATAGTACCTAGGGTGAGGTCTTTGGTGCCGGAGAAGCGCATGCCGAAGTACGTCGAGCCGGCCATGGTGAGGTAGGGGATCTTGACGCCGGATTGGTTCGTCACTTCGATGTTCCCGCCTCCGCTCTTGGGGGCAGCAGTGATGGTTCCGCAGCCTTCAAACGTCTTTCCGCTCGTGATGGTGATGGTGCTAGCGCCGATGTTACCGGAGGCGATGACGGACACCCGTTGTCCACTGCTGATGCCATCGAGAGCGCGTTGAATAGCTAGACGGTAGTCGGAACCGGTGTATAGGTTTGTCGAGCCCTTGGTCGCGGTGAAGGAGCTGCCGGAGCCAGTGACTTTCGCGTCGGGAGTGCCGGAACCGCATTGAGCGGACGCAAGGGAGGCAAGCGCCAGCACCGCCGTGAGACCAGAGAAATGAACCATCTTGATCGCTCAGGTGAAGCGAAGAGTGAGGAGAAGATGCGATGTGGTTGACGCCGCCATTAGACCGACGAGATGCGCACTCCTTATACGACCCAAAGGCCATGGCGCTGCTCCACTCCCGCACTCCTCCCTCCCAAATGACACCAAGCCCTCGATATGACTTCCATCGTATCACCCTTACCAATTCGGAGCAAGATGCAAAACAGCGAAGACTATGAGTAAACCACCTGGCCGTGTCAGGCACACGCGTTACTCATCCCTAGTCCTCGCCGCAGTCCTGCCGATCAATTGCAACACCAGTTTTCGAATATACCACCTATCATACCAGGCTTTTCAAACACTACCATGCTATTACAAGGCCATTGGCGCGCGCGCCACTCTCGTTTCGCAGTTTCAGCTATCCCCAGAAAATACCAAGCTCGACAGATTATCTACACCCTGGGATACTCAAGAGAAATCTCCACCACTGTACTACTCCGGAACATTGTACCTGCAAGCAGCACTAAGTCCCTGTCTCTTTTGCGTAAACCTTCCGCTCTACTGCACACATGATGTTGTGCGTTGTATGCAACAACCAATTCGGTGCATCTCTGCCCTTGTACCTGTTGGTTACAGTTTAAGTGATCGTCCGGGGTGCGTCGTCCCCCGCAAAACAGCCGTTAGGCGCATCACACGACGGCATCTACTCGGGTTGATTCACTCCGCGGGTGCTTTCTTGGCTGCGTATTTCTCCGCCGCGATCATCTGTGCATATTGTTCCGCTGCCAAGGTACCAAGGTCAGCCATTTTGTTTCATCGCTTTCATGATGGGGTCAGTGGGAGGTTTCGCACTGCGTTCTAGAACGAATCGATTGTAGTGCGAAAGTAATCATTTGCGATCTATCTAGGCGCGCAAAAAGAAGATGTTGTAGATACATTACCCAGGTACCGAAATGCGCGATCCCTATGCCGAAAATAGCCTAGTGTACTGCTGAAGCATCATTACTCAAACACATCACTCACGTACCTGGTCTCCTTGACCTTCTCCAGCCATTTTAGAGCATCATCTTCCGTCTTGCCCGGGAAAGTATCCCTATAGATCTTCATACACATCTCCGCGGTGCTCTTGGCCAACTTACTCGCACTACCGCAGATGAAGACTTTCGCGCCACCTTCCCCGAATAGCTCAGCTAGCTCCTTCCGCTCGTCCCACATGCGGTCCGGCACGCGTTGCGCTTTCTGTCCCTCGGGGGCGACTTTGGAGAAGCAGCCGCGCACGCTGACTACACCGTCGGCCTCCCATTGCTTTAGTTCTTCGGAGTAGATGAAATCCTTTTCGAAGTGGCGGCAACCGAAGTAGAGGATCGCCGGGCCGACCTTCGCGTTGCGGGCATTCTTAATGGTTGCACGCTCCTGAATGAAGCCGCGCATTGGTGCGAGACCTGTACCTGCACAGACCATAATGATGGGTACAGTCGGGTCGGTAGGCAGGTGAAAATTGATGTTTGTTGGACGCGGAAAGCAACGAATCTTCTCGCCTGGCTCTTGACGCGCTAAGTATGTCGATGCAACACCATGGAAGCGGCGGTTATCTCCACTCCATGCTGCCTCGTCGTGAACGTCGTAGGTCAGAGAGGCAATCAAACGCTGGACAGTAGTTCCTTCAGGTGTTTGAATGAAGTCTACGTTCGCGAGGGGCGAAGATGAGACGCTGTATTGGCGAGGAGACAGCGGCTTTAGCGAGTCAAGATAGACTGGGAAGGGTAGCTTGCAATCAGGGTGGTCTTCGAGGATATCCAGAATGCTGTATCGCTTGGGTATGACCTCGCTCTTGTATGTTTCATCGCTTGCTAACTCCAATAGCTTGGCCCTTTTGTTTTCTGGTGAGGCTTCGGCCAGATTCTGTAACTGCTTTTGCGAGATGGGCGTGCTGAGCTCCACACGTGTCATGAGCAAATCAAAGATTGAGGTCGGAGCTTCGGTTGCTATGAAGGTTTTGCTGGTGCCTGTAATGGCGATGTTGTCATCAGGCGATAGGTCGAAGCGCTTCATGACCCGCCTCACATTGCAGATGCTGTTCATCGGCAGGATGACGATGTAGTCGCCGGAACGATACGACGTCCCCGGTGGTAGTTCGATCTCCATGTGCTTCTTGGTAAGGCCAACCTCGCCGCCACCTAGGCTTTTGTTGGCTTTCACTACACCGTAGCCGATGTCTTTGCCGCCGAGGTATGTCGCGAACTTTGGAGGCGTGATCTCAGCCTGTAGCTGTCCCTCAAGTACCTCAGTAGTAGTACCGCTGGACTTGCGCAGATCACTCCACATCTTCTCAGACCACTTTTCCCAGGGACCCATTATGTCTCCCTTTACATTGACAAGACCAGTTTCTGTGAAGCGCTTAGCACCCATCTTTTCGAGCAATTCGTCGGTGAGTTTGGGAATACGATGGTACGTATGGGTCCAGTCGCTATTCCCGACCCCAAAGATGGCATACTGAACTCCTTCGAGCAGCTTGGATGTCGCATTGTTCTCAAGCCAAGCAACGAACTTCTTCGCGTTGTCTGCCGGTTTTCCTTCGTATGAGGGCTCGATGATGACAATTGGCTGGTCTTTGGGGATGTGTTCAGTAGCCGAGTCGAGACTGGCGACGTTCGCCTTGAACCCGAATCGGGACGCGTTGGTCTCCAAGTCTTCAGCATAGGATTTGCATGTGCCGGCGTTTGATCCGTACAGTATGGTAATTGGCTTCGTATCCCTGGTAGGTATATTCGCTTCTTTGGCCTTGCCAGGTCCGTTGTCGTTGGCTTCCTTGGTATTGGTTGCACCGCCTCCAGTCCCACCCAGGCTAGCCATTGTGCGTCCTGGACGTCTGCGGACCTTGATCTTGAGATCCTTTGGTTTTTGTGTAATTGTGACCGACACATCTGGTACACAAAGTTAGCGCTATCACACTCAAGTATATGAAAGCACGTACGGAGCTGGTATCCGGGGTCCGCAAGCTCAACTTGGAACTTCTGTAGGATGAGTGCGACAACCATGATCATCTCCTGCTCAGCAAACGTCCTGCCAATGCAGGCGCGCATACCATCACCAAACGCCTTCCATGAGTTCGGTGGAAGCTTCTCCCAACCACCGTCCAGGAAACGCTCGGGTCGGAACACGTCCGCGTCATCGCCATACACTTTAGGGTCATGATGAAGTCCCTTTAGGTTCATCAGGATCATGTCTTTCGGTTGCACTTCGTATTTTCCCTTACAATCGTTAGATGCTAACTATAGTAGCTATGAGATGGACTTACCGCGACTTTCGTTGGTTTCAGCGCATGCTTTCCATTGATCGCAATTGGGCCGAGGAAACGCAACGCTTCGTAGATTGCGAACTTGATGTATTCAAGCTTCGGGATATGTTTCAGCTCTAAAGGACCGTCTCCGAGGACTTCGTCAACTTCTTGTTGAGCTCTCAGATATTTATCTGGGTTTCTGAGCAGGTGGTAAAACAGGAAGCCCAAAGTCCCGCTTGTAGTCTCATGGCCAGCAACCAGGAAGGTTACCATGTTGTACCGCACAGACTCTTTCGTCATCTTCTCTCCAGTCTCCTTGTCTACTGCCTCAAGCATGGGGTTGAGAAGGTCTTTGGCATCTGGCTGAGGATGAGCGATTCGATCAGCGATAATCTGGTCGCATAGATCATGCATCTTCTTCACGTTATCCTGACGATGGGCTTCGGCGAAGACTCGGAGTTTGTTCTCGATAGACGTGCGTGTGGCTCGTCTACCAGACTCCACCAAAACCTCCACCATTTGGTTGATGAAAGGATGCGCACTATTGCTGTAGAAGTTATTGAACCTGTAGCCAAACGCGCACAGCCCGATCATATCAAAGGTCAGCCTTGAAGTAGTTAGTAATGACATCGTTTGGTATGAAATGGATGATATTCACCTTGTGAAGTCATCGGCGCATTCGATCTCATGATCTGGGCCAAAACGGTCCCACCGGAGTAGCATCTGCGTCGAAATGTCCATCATGCCGTCGAACATCTTTCGGATGCCCATTGGCCCAAACACGGGCATCAACAGCCGATGAGCGACACCCCAAGCCTAGTGCGTATATTAGTACATCTACTATCATAGCAGACATGACAAGTGTACCTTTTCGCCGGGATAAGCTGTGAACAGGCCATCTCCTGTCAAAGCTCGCACCTCATCCAGAGTAGCATTAATGGGCTTTTCGAACCGGTCACCGTCGCAGCAGTCGTTAATAGTGTCGTATGAGGACACAACGATGACTTTGCCGTCGCGCCCCGGGAACTGGAGTTGGTAGATCTCGCCATAGATATCCGCAAGTCGTTGGAAGGAGCCTGGAGCGTCGTTCGGATCGATCTCAGCGAAGTTGCCTACGAATAGGTGTGGGGGAGGCTGAGGAATAGGCAGAGAATCTGATGTATCGGAGGCCATCATCGCAAGATTATTAGGGTGGTGACAAGACCGGATGTTTGGTTTCCAACGAGGAGGAAAGACCGAAGGACTTGGATTCAGCTGCTCATTCCTGGGAAAGAGCTGGGCTACATATACACGGGTAGCAACACAGCGCAGGGCATGTCAGCCTAGGGACGTCGGCCTCCCATGGCAGCCCTCGACCGAGCCTTGCCATATAATGCTGCCTAGTTGCTGACTCCGCAGGGATACAGAGTCCTTTGGTGATGTAGTTACAGCCAATGTGGTCTGATTGGGCGTCACACTGTCCGTAGTCAGCGAGTTTGTGTTCAGCTCGGCTGTGCCAGCCACGCGATAGGCTCCTGTATCGTGATGCATGGGAGCACGACAGCATGCCGACGCTGCGCCTCGTGCGAACTGGTGACCGAGAGATATTGCGCGCGACTTAGCCAGATCACAGTACGCAGTAGCCTTTGCCTGTCTAGAAACTGTCTACCGGACGGCCCGAGGCGCAGGGCCAACGGCCTGTCCACCCCGCGCCACGCCGTAACACGCGCAGCGTCTGTTGTTGAGAGCACCAACGGTTCATCAGACGTCTTGGAGATTCGGCATCTGATGAACTGATGTTCTCTGAGTTGTCAAGGTTTGCTCGTTGAGGTAGTAGACGGGAAAACATCGACGCAAACGCTGTTCGTGAGTTAGTGTACACGGCGATCGTCGCGTCTTCGCGTGACGGGGTGCTTCATTGAGCTCAGCGGCATCATTGCGACATCTTCAGCGTTTTCGTAACGATACTGATACTCTGAGCTTTAGTGGTTATGCAACATGCACACTGTCTAGACATGTTGCAAGGCGAGACGGCGGTGTTGTGCAGGACGCGCCAAAGCTCGGCCGGCTCAAGCGGCCGAGCGGGGCGCCACTTATCGGTGGAAAGTACGAAAGAGCTCGTATTCCAACGTTGCACCCAGTGTTCACGATAAGAACGTTAAATGAGTCGAGGCCCAGGAAGACTCCACGCAATAAGACCAGACATGAATATATTCATCAGCCAGACGGCATGCATTGCATTAAGTGAGGTTGACCAGTGTACACATGAACGTCTCCTTCTCCCATGTCTGATACAACAAAACACCAGCCATCTGGTCGTTGTACCATTTATTACGGTTGATATGCACCATAATGATGTATATCGTGCACAACTCACAAAGACTCAAGCCGCGGATGTCTTGGCCTCCTTCTCTTTCTTCCAGACAGCGATGGTGGAACTGTCGAGGTGGATCTGGTTGTAGGTGCTGACATAGCTAGGACATTCGCCATCGTGGCGCGTGAACTTGCCGGATGCTTCGCCGATGACATAGTCGATCGAATCGCTAGCCTTGAGATCCAACATACCCCAGTGATTGAGGAAGCCAAGAGCAGAGTTGTACATGCTCTTCAATTTGAACCCCTTGGGAGCTTGGCCTTTCAGAAAACGAATGTAGATAGTGAGACGCTGGGTGTATACGTGAAAAGTGAACTCTACACGAGGTTGTAGGTTGGTGGTACTGCGAAGCATCTTCAGCCAATTTTCGTTGGTGTTGGCGAGGAAGGCATCCAGTGCGTCGAGATACCCATAACTCCACCTCATTTGCCAAAGCACTTCACCCCAAGTGTCCTCGTGATCGCAGTCCATGTCGCATCCACAATGGATGCTGTGTCCGCATTCGAAGCACTCTACGTTGGGCACATCGTCTTCGAGTACCTGACGGGAGGCGAAGTTGACAGTAAAGGTTGGGCAGTGTGCGCGTAGGCGGGCCAGGAGGGTGATGTTTGTCAGGACGTCCTCCATAGACTCTTCGTCCCCACCGTAACCTTCCTCAAGTTCATCGCCAAGCTGACCGTGGTCCCAGGATATTAGCAGAAGCTTTGGAGCGTGCTGGTAATCTGCGACCTTGGGGTAGTATGCGTTGATGAAATGAGCGAGTGTTGGGAGTTCCACGCAGAAGCGAGATTGACGAAGCCACATAGGCCGATACTCCGTCCGAATCTGCTTGCAGACTTGAGTGAGCGCACGGTAACGCAGCGTGCTCAGTAGATGCGGCACGGTAGTGCTGTCACTTGCGACCTTAGAACGCTTGAGCAGAAGCGGTCGTATTAGATCATCGTCGTCATCATATACCCCTTCTTCGGCGAAGTGGTATATGCGATTGCGGATTTCTGCGAATAGTCAGCCAACCAAAGCGCTATATAGGCAAAAGAGGGACATACCAGCAGGCAGCTCGAGGAATTGGCAGCAATTGAGCATGGGCTCGAACTTGGTCTTATCGCCAAACGTCTTGCCACCCGAATTACTGCTGTTGCCCTTCTTGGCGTCGCTTGTCTGGAAGTTCTGGCCTTTGCCTCTGTATATCGGTCAGCTAAGGTGTAGGGCGATATGTGAAGGTACATACGCGTCGGAAGGCATCTCCACTGTTGAACCTGAAAAAACCTGTAGAGAGCGGAGCGCAGTCTTCAGGTAGGTGTCAAGCGGGGTTGGGTAAACAACGAGAACAGGCAGCGAAATGCGCATTTGTTAGTCGCGGAAAGAGCGCACGAGCGTGACGCGATTTCCCGTGACCGATGACGCACTATGCCTACACCGTCTCGTGGGCGCAGACCTCTCGGAAGACCCCGCTCTTCTTCTTTCAGAAACGGATTCGATTCTAGAGGTGCCCTTTAAACTCTAGGCACTCAGGCGGAATCCTTAGTCCTCCCCTCCCATCTTGCTGCGTCCTACTCGTCTGCCAGTCTTAATTCCAGTAGGCAAAAGGCCATTATCCGCGTAGGCTCGACGAAGAGGTCCTTGCTCCCTAAAGTTATGAACGAAGAGATTAGTACCCCTGGGTGAATCGTACTAACGCTGCATAGACACCAGCATGCGAGAACCACGGCGTGGGGGCAGTGACTGACAGTGTTGCGTGTTTTCACCTCAAGCGGTTCTACATTCAAGACCATCCATGGATGCCCGGCGTCGTGGTGTGCAGCGACGACGCGTGCAAACAATAGGCGCCAGTGACTGCCTCGTCAGGCGTGGCAGTTTGCTTCCACCCCATACGACAAACAGTCACATCGCTGTCTCACAACACATCCTTTTCTCTTATAAACTCCCCACGAGTCTCCAAATATCCCACGGCGACTGACAATCCTGTCACTGAAAAGTGAACGCGGCGGTATGGCTTTGATCTCGACCTGCTCTTATTGGTCGGCTTGGCAGGTGAAGGCGACCACATACCGTGGGTGACAATAGAACAGACAATGGGCCGTCCATACCAGCCACCCGCATTGTTTCTCCTTCACCAGGTAGTCCTACTCCCTTATGGCGAAAAATCTTTTTCAAGCTCTGCTGCAAATTTACCACCGACCTCACTTCCCAATTACTCCAAACACCGACCTCCAGTCCAAAAGATTGCGATCAGCTGCGAGCCGGAAACTTCAGTCTGACAACCACGAAACTGCACGCATTAGCAAGGCATCTCAAGATGTTTGCGCAAGAGTATATCCCTTTTGCGACAGACACAGCACCGTCTACGGACGAGCGCGGTATCCCACAACCCTCCCATCTCACGCGCAAAGCATCATCCGCCAGCAGTGCGTTCTTGCGAGAGCTTCTTGGCCCGGAGATGGCTCTCTCGATCATGCCTCCCGGCTGCCGCACCATCGCCTTCTCGCAGTGGGGTGGCTTCACTGCAGCGCCCGAGCAGGTCACACCGACCGGAGAGCTCAAGGCCTCAGACCTGTACATGGATCGCGGCATGACATCCACCTTCAACCCTCCGACGTCCGAATGGTGTTATCTGGGAGTGAACCAGCCAAAGCCAGACCCCAGATACAACGCGCAGCCCATTCCAGATCTTCGCAAGCGCAAGCGGAACTCATCGACCAGCATCGCGACTGTGAGCGAGCAAGGCGATCAGGGTGCCAGACCCAAGGTAAGGAAATCACTGTACAAACTGCGTGTGAGACAAACGCTGACTTCGTATCTTCGTAGCCAACGACTTCGCCCGTCCGCTTTACTAGGCAGACACTGAAGCGAGTGAACACCAACTCCGAGCTCACAAGGTCGTTCGAGATGGTGTCCATCAAGGAAGAGAAGAAACCCACGTTGGCCGAAAAGTTCGCGTTCGAGGGACTGAACTGTGAGGATCTTCCGTCAGCATTCGACTCCGACGACGAAGAAGAAGACTACGACATCCGACATGCTCGCTGATGGAAGCATGAGAGCCCCTGAGTATCACTGCCTGCTTCGCGATCAAGGATGGTCGCATAGGGTGGTCTGGGGGTGGAAAGCATCCATAGAACAAAAGCTTATGAGCGCATCGCATAGGAGCTGATTCCGTTGCAACGCTGGTTTCATTGTTCACTGAAGCGGCGCACGACTTGAGCATTTGGCTTGGAAGGTGCGATGGCAAAAGGAGTGCAAGATGAGGCACAATGGTTGAAGATGTCTCGCTTGCCGGCTGGCCCGAGCTCTCTTTGGATTCGATGACAGCATCGATCATCAGCTCTAGCATAACTTTTGGCCTGTACATATACACCCGCCACAACAATCAATTGCATATCACAACCATGGAACGAAGTCTACTACAGTGTACCCGTGCATTCTCAAGATGTACGACCCAAACCTCATGTCGTAATCTGCCCAAATGCAGACCCTCGGTGATCGCGTCTGCACGACAGGCACGCTGCCTACACACGACGCGCCCCGCCCTCCTCCAATCCAAACCTCCAAGAACGCGCGATCGCGGCCCAAAGAGCGACGAAGACACGCAGACCGACTTCAGTGCTCTCGATGTCCTCCGGAACACCGTCGCTCCCGCCACATCCATCGACGCGTGCACAGGCGATGGCTTCGCGCTCAACAACCAGATGCGCATTAGCGGATGCGGCATTCTCTTGATAGGCGGAGAAGCATATCGATGGAAGCCCTGGCTACGCGAGGGTAGGAAAGAGGGCACCGTCGCTGAAGGAGGCACGGGCGATGATGCAATGACAGGCAAATTGCTGAACGCGAAGAGGCAATGGGAGGTGCCGGAGCAGGCCTGGGGAGTGTTGGAGTTATTATATCCGAAGCCTGGTACGTTTGTAATCGCCTGCAACGAATGCGTGACGAACGTGGTCTGACAGCGAGCGACAGATCTACTCATCATTGGCACCGGCCCCAGTACCGTGCCTCTCGCACCTGCGGTTCGCAAATACCTAAATGACCAGGGAATACGATTAGAAGTCCAAGACACAAGGAATGCGGCGGCGCAATTCAACCTACTTGCGACAGAGAGGGGTGTAGGACAGGTTGCGGCGGCGCTCATACCCATCGGCTGGAGAGAAGGACGATGATGGTCGAACTAGCAGCGGGCCTACCACTGTCCCGTTGGTTTCCCCAAACGGTCACGCTGTGATGGTTCATTGACGCCTTGGAAGACCTAGGAGCTGGCCTAGACGATCCGGCTGTGAACGACTCCAGGTCGATTGTCCACCCAAACCATGGAGGGTAGTCTTGTTTCCAGGCAAGCTATAATAGGGCCAGCGACACGTCACAGTACGAAGATATGAGCGCGTAAGTCAACGATTTTATGAGACATGCCCGCGAAGTTGAGCACACTCATTGTACTATTTGTATACATACATTCCATTGTTCTCAGATGATCCTGGAACCGACCTGTACATATAAGTCCTTCGTGTCTCACCTTTACCTCTCTCTTTGTCGTACTTTTCATGAATTCCCCAACTCGTTCCTCGCGCTGCTTGCTTGTTCTGACCCCACCAGTTCTATTTGCCAGTCCGGCCGTCGAGCAAACAAACACTGTCACAATCACAGCCGCGACTCCCTGCCCCAGACCGCTCCTTCCGACTTGCGCCTTCTTGACCCACCACGTGGCCCGGCGATATCGCATAACTAGCAAGCCAATGTCGCTTAAATACGTGACCTGCGCACTATCGACCTTTCTTTCCACTCTCCTCAGTCTAATCACTCGAAGCTGTGAACTAATGTCTGACGCTGATATGCACGGAATAAGGTGGGGCTTTGGTAGGCGCGTGGTAACTCCTGATGAGGAAGCAGCCATAGGTGACACTACGCCGCTACTCGGTTCGGAACGCTCTTACCGCAGCGAAGAGGCTGGAGGCGACTTTCCACCAACCATGGATGGCAATGATGCTTCCGCCGCCACGTCTTCAGCAACACCACGTCCGGTGACTCCCTTTGTCGCCGAACTACCGATTATTCATAGCCCATCGTTACCGGCAGTCATACACAGCTCAGGCCCTAGGCTGTCCGTCCTCCAGTCGTTCAGGCTTAGCAAGTTATACCGCAATCGGTTCCTATCGCCTACAGAACTGTCCTGCCATACCGACCACTCCACAGCACAGATGGAGTCGCAAATTCAAAATGACGACAAGAGCCTAATAATCGAAATACTGTCACCCGTTCTCGACCACCTGAAGGAACTGAAGGCGTTGACACCCGAGAGTCTACAGGACCACAATCAGACCCTCAACAACGAGACGCACGCTCAGGTTCTTAAGCAGAAGCTGCTACCGATAGGTCAGCTTATCGTGGACAGCCTCGAAACAGTCCCACTGGACCACCGGGGTTGGTTGGAGGGAGCTATATGCCATCACATCGCCGACAATTACTGGCCGCTGCCTGTCAACTTCTTCACCCATCTGAAGATCCAGGAGAAATACCGCAATGCGCTCTTCAGGTTGGCGCAGCGCACACCTGCCGGAGCCATCGAGCCGCATCCCAACAAGGACTCTCAGCAGCCTCAAGCACCAGCTATCGAGCCTGATCCGCCCCAACCATCGCTGGACCCGAGGGATAATCCGGACACGCCACCATTCCCCAAATCGACCGCTGAGCAACCTCAAGCATCAGCTATCGAGCAAGATCCGCCCCACCCGTCGCTGGAACCGAGGGATGATTCGGATACCACTGCACCATTTCCCGGATTGTCCATTCAGCAGCTACAATCATCAGTCGTTCAGGCCGCTCCGGGCTCTGGGGACTTTCTAGATCTAAACTTTTACGAGTTGAGAGCAGAGGCTATTGAAGAGGCCGATGCGAGGGACTTGGACAACGTATAGTACCCAATGGTCAAGTACCACCTTCTGCCTAGTCTTCCAAGGCTGGACCGAAAGATCCGGAAATGTCAAATGCCCATGTCACTCTTCAATCCTCAATGTACGGGCTATTGGGACGCTTCTTTCGAGATCAGCAACAACCAAGTTCAATGGAAGGTAGTGATACCTCATGTACGCATCGTATGTGAAACATTTACTGACTTTGTACATTCATCCTTAGGCTAAGCCTGATCCTAACACCATCCTTTACAACTACATGCTGCCCCCCGATCATATGACCAAATGTGTCATACCATTATTTGCGACACGCGGCCTGCTGGCAGATCTTGAGCTCGGCGTGGCCACGAAGATGAGCCACGAGTATCAAGACTCTAGGCAAAACCTGAGTGCAATGCTCGATTATGACATGCGTTGTTGCATCCTCTTTCTGACTCGCAAACGGCCCGATCTCCAACCATTCGAAGTACTGTGGTGCGCTGTAAGTGGGGTTTTGAAGTTGCACAAACCCTCGTTCGACAGATACGTTCAGGCACCTACAAAGATTCGCCAAAGGGTCAGACGAGACGGAATAGCAGCGTTTCAGAGAATGATAAAAGCCCCAGATTTCGACCACGTTGACCAATACCTTTGGAACGCGATGAGGGTGCTTGAGATCTATACTAGACCTCTGGTTACAAAAGAAAGTGTATTCCTCTGGATCGATTCCTTTCGTCTTGAGAACATCGACGTCATCTACGATTTACGCCTAGATGGCGCGAAAGCTCGAAAGAAATTGTTCGATTACCTCGAAGAGAGGCATCCTGGTGGCGAATCCATATGGCACAGCCTCGTGCAGAACTTCCACAGCCATGATGTAGTCAAATTTCCAGAGTACGCTACTCGACCACGCTCAATCGAAACCATTACTACCTGGGTATATTTCTTCACAGAGGCTCGACAGGGTGTTCTACTGAAGGGAATGGACTTCGACGCATTAGTCCTCGATGAAGCTGTAGCAGCTGTAGCAGCGGAGCAAAAGAAACCGAAAAAGAAGAACAAGCCGAGGAAACGTAAAGGTGCCAAATCGGGGGAGCTGCCTGATGAGAAGGAGCTGCCAGTTGCTCAAGAGAAGTGCACATCTCAAGACCTTCCTGTGTCTCTTGAACAACCTCCACAGAGGGACGACACGACACCGCAAGAGGAGTCTGTAACTCAAGAACAACACACATCCCCAGAGCAAGCTCTACCCCAGGAAGAGCCCCAAACCAAAAAGCAGCGCTTATCTCGAGAGCTATCGACTACGCCTACACCTTGTGGACCTACACCCTTTTCAACGCTGGAAGAGAAGGAGAAGAGCGAGCAGAAGCAGTCAACAGAGCAGTTAAAGAAGCAAAGAAAGAAGCAATCGAGATGGGAGAGGAAACATGGCAAGGCAGGAAAATCCGACGCTAACAAGCAAGCAGCCTCAATCACGGTGGAGGAGTCTTCGCCATCCGTTGTCGCGAAGGCCGATGACGGTGGTGACAGTGTTACTGGAAACGCCAACAAGGATAACGACGGTGTTATTGGCAGCAGTGTTATCAACGACGGTGGTGACCTTGGTGGCCACTTGTCTGCGGCTGATTCGGTTCCTAGCGATGAAGCGCCTACCAATCAAGAGACGGTTCAAGAGCATCCAAGCAACAGGTACGAAGTTTTGATGGCCAAGCCGTCGAAACACGCTGGGAAGTCCACCGGAAAGCTAGCGTTCCATGCCGATAGTGAAGATGACATGAAGAAGGCCATGGAGGAGAGTCTTCTGAACGACCCGGGTAGTTGGTCAAAGGTGCAAGGGCGCGCGAAAGTGCGACCAAAGCAGAAGCAGAAACAGCGCACCGACGATCGCAAGAGTATCCAAGATGCGTACAAAGAGAGAGGCTATGCAACTGCTGTTACCGATGCACAGTTGGACAGGGCAAGAGCTGAAGTGAAATCGAGAGAGGCACGGGCGGACTATCTCAGATCAAAAATAACGAGATTGTCTGCTCTGATACCAGGTGAGGGCAGCGCCGAATCAATCAAAGAACACAACAGTACCGCTTGCGGGCAGCCTACATCCTGGTCAGCGCTTTTCAAACCTACGGAGAATGACACGGGGCGCAACCCTCCTCAAGAAGCCGCTCCGTCTACGAATGCTGTCGACACGCGACCGCGTACCGCAACTGCCACGGAGAACCGTGAACCCATTCAAGAGAGCGCACAATCTGCGAGCCATCACATTCTTGCGCAATCAGAACCACCCGTAAGGCAAGAGCAATTCAAGGACTCAAAGCCATCCAAGGTTGTTGCCGGCGCGGCATCGACTCCCACATCAGGCACAGAGAACAGTGAGTCTATCAAGGAGACCGTACGGCCTGTGAGCCATCACACGACTATGCAATCAGAACCACCAGTTCATCAAGAGAGTCTCAAGGATCTGAAGCTGTCTAAGGACGTGGCGGGCGCAGGATCGACTTCCACGTCAGGCACGGAGAAGAGCAATTCCACCAAGGAGACAGTACAGCCTGTAGATTCTCAGAATGTTGCGGAGCAAGAAGGTCCGGCAGATAAGGGGGCATCCGGGGACTTTACACCATCTGAAGATGCTGCGGGTGCGGGATCGACTTCCACATCTGGCATAGAGAACAGCAGTCCGATCAAGGAGACGGTACTGCCTGCGGAGCCTCAAGATATTGCGCAATCGGAGCATCCGGTAGAGAAGAAGGAATCCAGGGACCTCGCGCCATGCGAAGATGCTGCTGGTGCAAAATCAACTCCTGCGCCCAGCGCAAGGAACGAAGGCTCCACGACAGAGAGCGCACAAACTGTCGACCCTCACTCGTTTGCGCAGACAAGCATACCGATGGATGAGGAGGCTCCCGAACCTCATCATAGTCGTGAGGCCAGCTCGCCGCCACCTGCGAATTCTCACGCTCCTGCGCAACCGCAATCGTCGCTGGATGAAGAGGCCTCCAAAGACTACGACGGTCATGAGGACGACATAGAGTCGCTTCCGAAAGTCAGTACCCCAAACCAGCCGTTAGTTGTGGTCGACTCGGCTGTGTCGCATGTGGAGCAGTGGCTTGCAAGCAAATACTCGGCTGCCTTCGCCGGGCTCACGCAGGCGGAAATAGACAATGCGCACTGGCGCCCTCAGGACTCGGAAGTGACTTAGAGGCAGGAATCGTTGAGGGCTTCATAACATGATTGAGACGAAAGACAGGCGAATGGAGGGCGGCGACAGGGTAGTGGAGGAGCATGATAGAATCGTCGCGCCAATTTTTGACCGGTACTTCCGGCATGTGGTGCAGGTATGACAACGTCAGATAGAGGGCTTAGAGGTATCCAATAGACATTCCAACCCAAGCATACAAATTTCCAGACGTGCATCGTATATCGTATCGTCGTAGCGCGGGATCTAGTGTAACGGGCGGGCGATGCAGGGGTTTCAGGGTACGCGAAGTGGATACCCGCATCTCGTTCCTGAGTGCACAGCCTCCGTCTCGTAGGGCTATCCGCGTATTCGTCTCGGAGTGGATCACTACATGGGTCTCTTGCGCTTTTGGGTGCAGCTTGCGATGGACGCAGTTGTATAAGGAGGAATGATGTCTGTGATGATGGATTTTACAAGCCACACATTCATTCCGTTTGTCTTCGTCCTGTCGCTTTTCAACACATACTTCCAGTTCTTTCACATTCGTTTACGACGACTGCTCGTGTGCTGCGGAACGGCGTGCTCCTTCTCTTCCTTCGTCAACCTTCTTAGGCATCTTCAGCCATAGTTTACCCCCGAAGCATCACAATGGCAGGCGACACGTCAACAGACAAAGAGGCGTACGCTCTCTTTCCCTATGAGCCCAGCAAGGTCGGCGCCATCCTCTTTGCTGTCCTCTTCGGCCTAAGCACAATCTACCACCTTTTCCAAATGATCCGAGGTCGCGCGTGGTTCTATACAGCTTTTGTAATCGGATCAATAAGTACGTCTCCCCTTCCCTCCTGCCTCTCATAGCAACCCGCACTAACAATGCCCACCCAGTGATGACAATCGGCTACGCAGCCCGCTACCTCTCCGCGCAATCCCCCTCCGAACTAATGCCCTACATCATGCAATCCCTCTTCATCATCCTCCCGCCTTCGCTCTACGCCGCAACAATCTACATGATCTACGGGCGCCTCGTCGTCTTCGTAAACGCCGAACACGCTTCCGTTATCCGACCTACGTTGGTAACCAAGATCTTCGTCTGCGGCGACGTCGTTGCATTCCTCATGCAGTCTGGCGGTGGCGGCATGATGGCGCAGGCAGACATGGCGGATATGGGACAGAAGATCATGCTGCTGGGACTGTTTGTGCAGTTGGCGTTCTTCGGCTTCTTTGTCGTGGTCAGTGCCATATTCTATTTCAGGATGAGGAGTGCGCCTGAGAGGTATACGGTGCCGAAGTATGGGAAGTATGCGTGGCCGACTTTGGTAAGTTGCTTTCCTTTCTTCTCATCTCCTTCGTCGACGCACGATGTACTAATTTCATGGCAGTACAAACTCCTTGCCATCGCGGCCGTTGTCATCATCGCTCGCTGCATCTTCCGTGTCATCGAGTTTGGACAGGGTCATAGTGGGTATCTGGCTTCGCATGAGGTGTACATGTATGTTTTCGATACGCTGCCCATGTTCTTGGTACAGGTCTTGTTCCATTTTGTACGCGCGGATGATGTGTTTGGAACGAACCATCGGCAAGTGAAGAAGTTGGACAGCGAGATCATCGGATTGTATGAGAGGGCGTGAACAGGAATTCTGCTGTCTTTTTGTACTCTACGAGATGTTACGGGCGTTGGTATCGCATTTGAGTTTGGCGTGGCATGATTACGGCGTTTAGTTGTCCTACGGATTTGACGACCTTGTTTATTTAGAAATCGCATTGAACTTTTGATAGACATCAGTGCGTGCATCTTCAATCTGCTGCCCAGGTGTTGTGGTGTTTAGGGGAAGTCGCCGGGATGGAAAGTCTCGCTCGCCGAGTGGGCCGAGGTTCACAAATTGGGTTAGCACCAACCTGTTTCTAGCTTCCTCGTATCTCGTTCTTCGTTTCTCGTTCGCGTTGCTGCCATCCCCAAAGCCTCTCTACTACTTTTTCCTCGCCTATAATATCAAGCTCTTGATGCAATTGGTCAGTTCCAATGGCCCTGAAAAGAAAAGCGCACTCGAAATCGCGGACGGGCTGTGCCACGTGCAAACGCCGCCGGATCAAGGTACGAAGCATGTCGTACTACAACCTCCATTCTGACGCGCGCGATAGTGCGACGAAGCAAAACCTCGATGTTCGCATTGCGTGAGGCATGAGGTCGCCTGTGTATACCCAGAATACATTCCCGTGCGAGCCAAAAGTTCGATTGAACACGCGTCTTCTCGTGCTCAAACACCGGCAACTCCGACCGCATTCCAGCTAGCGTCCCCTCAGAACGACCCTTTCGCAGCGAGCACACCATGTTCCGAAACCCAGGTCATTCCCTCATTCTCCTTGAAGGATATGTCCCTATTGCATCACTGGACGATGGCCACCAGTCTTTCCATACTACCCGGCGTGCCGGCGGTCACCCAGCTGTGGCAGGTGGTCTTCCCAGAAATAGCATACAAACACGCATACATGATGCACTGTCTCATCAGTCTCTCCGCTTTACACGTTGCATATCTCAATCCTGACGACAGACGCGCGAATCTCCACATCGCAGCGCATCATCACACGGTCGCTCTCAGCGGATTTAGAGCAGATATCGACACGATTGGCCCGCACAACGCTGAAGCAGTCTTTGCTACTTCTACGCTGATGTTCTTCTACGCTTTCTGTACCTTTTCCAAACTTTCAGATGCCAACGCGGACAAACAGCAAGATAGCGACAACACCAACGATAGCCTATCAATACGGACATCGCGTATTTTGGGTGCAGAATGGATACCCCTTGTGCGCGGTATCCAGGCTGTGATAGGTCCTATCTACGAACATCTCAAAGAGGGCCCTCTGAAATCAACGCTCCATCTAAAGGACTGGGATGATATGGATCCCAACATGCAGCCGGGACCGGATGATCAGCACGTGGTGCGCATCAAGCAAACGTGGGCTGACGATGGAAACAAGGCAGTATACGACGAGACGCTGTATTTGTTGAGGAAGATGAGTGCATGGGTCCTTCATTTCCGGAAAACGTGGGAAGATCAACAGGAGGAATGGGGATATAACGGTAGTTGGTCTGCTGTAAGTTGCTAAATCCTACTCTCCAGGTCTACTTGACACCTTTACTAACTCAGGGCTGTTGCCGCTGTTGATACAGCCGTTCGTTTGGCTATCTTTAGTACCGAAAGAATACTTCAAGTTGCAGCAACAACGGCAGCCATTGGCTTTACTCATTTTTGCTTACTTTGGCGCACTGTTAGAACAGCTTCACACAGGTTGGTGGACGGCAGGTTGCGGCACGAGCATCGTTGGTGTAGTAGATGACTTCCTGGGATCTTATTGGGCCGAATGGATGGAATGGCCAAAACAAGTGGTCAACCAACAGCAACAGCGGCAAACATCCGAAAACCAAAGCACCGCTATCCCATAACTCGATCGAGAAACGCGTTCTCAAGCCACAATACCCAACGCCTCGTAAACCGTTGCAATAAACTCCGACGTCCTCGGATTTCCCATACCACCCTTGCCCTTCTCATTCGTCTGCCCCAACCCGGCTGCATCCATCTTGTTCATAACATATCCAAACGTCATCTTCCTATCCGCGTCGGCAATAACCCGGCTTCCGCCCCAACCACCCCAAGTCGCCGCCCGTCCCAGTGGCAGATCAGCCATGATGCTTCCTTCGGCTGGCAGCCCGAATCCCAGTCCAAGACGAACATTCATCGGAATAACAAGATCCTTCTCGGAATGCTGCTGCGTCGTGAAAATCTGATCAAGAGTCTTGCCAGAGAGGAAAGAAGGGTTTTCCAAGGAGATGACGGACATGAGACGAACGAGAGCGCGCGCATTACTGTATCCGTTCGCCGCACCAACGACCGAACCCCTCCAGACTGCTTGGTTGGCCCAGTCAGCGTCCATGCCGGGGTTGATGCCCATAGACTTGAACATGATGCTCTTTGTATCAATGGCCATGCCCTCCATATTCTCTTGGTGTTGTGGCGGGGGAATAATATCGGCGACTCTGTGCCACTCCTTCTCCGGGACACCAAGTTGAAAGTCCGCCGCAAGTGGACGAGACAGTTCCTCGGCGATGAACTCTTGCATTGGCTTCCCGGTTACACGACGGATCAACTCGCCGAGGAGATGGCCCATTGTGAGTCCGTGGTAGCCGTTCGCGGTACCGGGTTCCCACCACGGTGCCTGTTGCTCCAACAACTTCGTACTCTTCTCCACATCGCAGACATCCTCGATTGTAACGGGTCCCTCCCAGCCACTCACTCCACTCGCATGCGAAAGAAAGTGGCGAACTTCCACGCCTTCCTTTCCATTCGCGGCGAATTCAGGCCAGTACTTGCTTACCTTCTCGTTTGGATCCAGAAGACCCCGGTCGATGCACAGGAGAGTCGCCAGCGCGCAGATGGTCTTGCTAGACGACCAAATACACGTTATAGTGTCCTTCTCCCATGGTCGTGTTCGGGCTTCATCTGCGTAGCCGCCCCAGAGATCGACGACTTCCTTCCCGTCGAGGTTGACGCAGATGGAGGCGCCGAGCTCTTCTCCCGAGTCGAGGTAGGATTGAAATACGGACTTGACTTTCGCAAAGCGCGGGTCGCATGTTCCTTGGACTTTGGCCATGGTGATGTGAGGGGGTAAGGAGTAGGCTTGGATGGTATATCGTGATAAGGCCGTCTCGTGGTGAGGTTGGTTGTGAAGACGTAGTATGAGTTTACTTGTAGACCAGATGCTCGAACTCTGAATGATGGATTCACGTATCCAGACGAGCAGTACTTGTACTTTTCAAATTCAACAATGGCATCGTCTCCCAACCTGACGGGGATGAACCCACTCGGTCCGCCGTATAGAGCGTATAGCCATCGGCTGCGGAACGTCTGTATTCCGAACTCGGAACGCGGACTAACAAGGACGACGACAAATGGCGTGGTATGAAAACGCACAACTTGCTGCGTTGCGCTGCATCTACGCGTGGTCTTAGAGTTGCCGTATACTGATGC